ACAAGTTGATAAACCCCTAGCCATGCTTAATAAAAAAAGGAAACAAAGACTCAGATTCCGGCAATAAAAAATGAAAAGGATTCACTATTGATCCTATGAAAATTCAGAAGATCATCAATTCCTCCTTCAAAAATCTTTACTTATGTAGGAGAGAAAACACAAAAGAAAGGGACAGATTCTTGGAAATTATGAAAGCTGATCAGGAAGATATAAAAATTTTGAATAATCCAATATCAGTTACTGAAATTGAAAATATAACTATAAACTTAAGAATAATCTCAGGTCCTGATGGATTTACAGCTAACTTCACTAAGAAGTTTAGAGAATATTTAATGTCAATACTCCTCAAACTCTAATGAAATTGACAGAGAAGCAATCCTCCCTAATGTATTCCTGGAGGCAAGTATTACGCTGATATCAAAACTAGAGAAAGACCTAACCACAAAAAAGAACTACAGACAATCTCCTTAATGAACGCAGATGCAAAAATCCTCAGAAAATACTAGTCACAGTTGGTTTCTTGTTGTCGTGTCTTGAAATCCTATGTCACTTGGATTGTTTTGCTCTGATCTGCTTTGTTCTATTTTGTTGTTTTGTCTTGTTTTATTCTCGTTAAAATAAAAGAGAAACTTTTCAAATTTTCTTATAATTTGAATTCACTATTTGTGAATGTGTGACATAATTTCCACTTATTGCATGTTTTAAAAATTCTTTTGGCTACTGGTTTCTTACTTTTTTCAATATGCTAATTCTGTACACACTATGATTTCAGTCCATTCACTGCATCAACATGTTCCTGCTGTATGTGCTGGTGTCTGTCTCCATGTGGACAGGTTGGGACACACTATGCTTTCTAGCAGCTTCTTTGAGCAGCTCTGTCTGAGACTCCTAGTTTCAGGGCAAGGTGGAGAAAGTCCCAAAGTTGTCTCAAAGTTGACATAGAAATGGGAACTTCAGGCCATCAGGTCCTGTGTAATCACCAGTATGCAAACATCTTCTGGGCTGTCATGCCCTGAATAGAGAATCTGTCTGCCTGCAACAATCAGATGGAGGACTAATCAGACCCTTGGTGAATTTCTCTCTGACTGGTCTGATGCCTTCTTTGATGGGTCATTTCTGCCTTTGCCTGTTAATGCTCCTTACTGACCCTGATGCCAACCCATCCCCCACAACCTCCATGGCCAACTCAAAACCTCTCCACTGTGTCCACGTATAGTCTCTCTTTCCTCTCAGACTGTGACATGTGATAGAATAGTCCTCTTATATCAGCTGAGTGTTTCAACTCCCAGATGCCCCCAAATCAACCTTGGGGTGCCACAGCAGGATGCCATTCCCCTGAGTTTCCTTGTGTCTTCCCTGCCATGGAAACATCCCTTTGTCTTGTTCTGCCCTACCTGTTAACTCACATTGTTTCCCACAGGCTCATCTGCACCAAGGGATAGTGTGCTGACCCTCATTATGTATATTGGCATCCCGCCTCCCTCCCGGTGGTCTGCTCTGCTGTTTTGGGAATCCAGAGGCTAATGGAGGGGTGATACTTCACTGCTCTGAGAGGCCTCACCCCAGGAAAACCCACACGTACAGTAGATGCTTGCTAATTTCTCATAAGAATATCAGCTTTGATTTGGAGGCTTATTTACTATAAATACTGTTATTTGTTAAGGATCATTAGGTAACTTTATGTCTGAATTTTAGATACCTGTGACCATGGTTTATTTTTATGAATCAATGTTGTCTCTTTGAGAAGAATAACATGCTTCCTTAGGGAAATTGGGCATAGCAGAAGGTTCTGCAGCATTTGAATGTATTAGAAGAATTATTTGAATCTTGCATTGCTGAAAATGTTACATTCACTGGCCTATGAAACAGCTAACTAGTATAAGAGATTAAAGACATGCACTGACTGTTTCAACTGAAGATTATTAGGATATGTGACAATTTAAAAGGGCTACTTGTTTGGTTTGTGAAGGTAAGAGCTAGTTTAAATTTGCAACCCCTTTGGTGTGCACTTTTGAATGTCCTGTTTGCTGCACTTGGCCACTAAGTCACATAGCAGACTTTATTTTGTACAAACTATTTTCTCAGTGCTATAGTATACATGCTCTGTTAACCTAGGATATGCTTCCTCAACCAGGGACGCACCTTCCTGGCACTCAGGGGTACTGCCTACTCCAGTAGACCCACCACTGCTCCCATGGGGAGAGCCCTCTGAAATGCAGTTTGTGCCATGGATCAGCACACTGGGTCTGTTCCTCGCCTTAATAGACACATTTATATGCTCTGTTATCAAGGATGGACTTAAAACCTGTGGCAAAGATCCATATCCTCATGTTTGATCTTCACAGTCAGGTGTTCAATGAAGTGTGCCCTCCCCATGTGATGGGAGGTATGTGGTACATATCCTTGAGCCTGTATGGCCCAAATCTTTTCAACTTAGTCTAATCATGAGGGAAAAAATAGGACAGATTCCTACCCAAGGAATCTATAGAATATCTGATCAATATTTCTCCAATCAGTGGAATTAATATTAAAAAAGTAGTTGGAGAATCTATTACAGTCTAGAGTAGCCTGAAAAGATAACTAAAAGTGATGTGGACAGAAAGGTATTTACAGACACTCCAGAAGCATAAATGAATGATATATCTGTGTTATAACAATGTGTTGATTATTAATAGATTGTGCCATATGCCACACTAATTTAAGGGGAAGCTGACATTGGCACATCTGAACACTGCCCTATAAGATTGTCTGTTTAGATTACAACTCCATATTTCTGCAGAGATGGCCACACATGACCCTCTTCTAGCCATTTTTCCAGGCTATCCTCTAGAGCATTGATTGATGGGGGTGAGGTTGGGGTTCTCAGATCTTGCAGCATTCACAAGACCATACCTGTAATCTTGAATCTGTGCTTCTGGCCTGCAGTTACCCCAGCATCCCCAGTCCCATCTTAGACTGGAGACCATGTCCTTCAGGGACAGCTGTTTACTTTCAGTTGGGTAATTACTCCCTGAGAGCTGCCCACATGGTTACCCCAGTAGCACCAGAAGCTTCAGCATGCACCCCAAGGGGATGGTGTAATCTAAAAGGGCATCATCCACAAAGCACACAGGCTCTAATTTCTTGGTTGCATCACTAGTCTCTGTGAAATGTGGCTATCCTCAGGTTGCATTGAATCAGTCATGTCCAGTACCTCCAATGCTGTGAGTAACCTTGTTCCTTAACCTGTCCTTCCTTTCAGACTACTTATCTATGTCTTGGGGCAGGTGTTTCTGAAGAGAGGTTTGTTTTTACTGTGATTTACTTTAACATGTAAGAAAACTGTTGCTGAGATCACACCGTTTACTTCTTTCATGGTTTCAGTTTGAAGTTGCAAACACCCAGGGCCACCACATGTCTGCTCGTGGCTCTTCCTGAGCTGGTGATCAGGATGAGCAGATGCCTAACCCAATAGTTTGGCCTTTGAGGCAGATCAGGATGTTCAAGATAGGCACGATGGTTTCCTGTGAATATGAAACAAGGTTTTGAGCAGAGTCAGCTGCAGACCAAGGAACCGCCTGCCATCAGGTGGGCTCTAAGGGATCAGAAGTTGCATTCAGAGGGGACTGTGGGGACTCAAGCTAACTCAGGATGGACTTTGGCCATTTGTTGAGAAGTCATGTTAAGTACATGGTTGACAGTGCCAGCAAGGAGTTACCAGCAGGGATACTCACTCACTAATCTTCAAGTCTGCAGAGAGGAGCCCCACAACCTTGAAGTTTGTATGTGTCTTAGTTCTTTTAAATGGGTAGCTCAGCACTGCTGTAAGAGAGAAGAATAACTGTAAAATTCCAGAGCAGCTGTGTTCTCCAACTTCACCAGTAGGCAAGCAGGCCCCAGTGTCTCTGTAAATCAGTAATAGTTGTTCAAGTGGGAGGAGACAGGCTTCCTTGATTTGTAGTAGCCATGTTGATATGTACTCATAGATCATGTGAGAATTCAAAGTAGATTGTGGAACCTTCAGTCTCCTTCTGTGAGGATGTCTGGGCTGGGTACAGACACAAGAAAGAAGATAGTGATTTTTACCCTAATATTTATTGCTCTAGTTGCTCCTTGCACTGAGCTGGTCCCATCCTGCCCAAACGGACTTGGTTGGACAGAGATGGGTGATGGCACAAGCTTCTGAGTTGGGTGTTAGGACATACAGGCTTGGGAGGTGGGTAGTGCATTTGCTGGAAAATTTAGGGATTGATCTGAGGCTGAGTACAGTCCTGTACAGTACCCAGCTCTGGCTTGTCCTGATAATCACTGAGTGGCAACTTTCATTTGGACCAGAGCAAAGGGATGACCTGCTTCTCTGCCCACCCTAGATGTATCTACCCTGCCCACAGAAGCTGGGATGGGTGACTTGGCAGGGATAATCAGCTGCTGTTTCAGTGAAAGAATTGTGTTCATATTGATTCACAAATCTGAGCACTAAGGGAAATTACCCCCAAGAGCCAGAACTCTGTGTGTCTCAGCTCCATGTGGGAGCTACTCTGCCTCCCACAACCCTTCTGATCCCTGGGCATGTCCCTCCCCTTGAGCTTTCCATATAAGCCTCACCCTAAAACCTGGCACATGCCATATAACATGGCTCATCCTCAGTAGGGTCTCTGCCCAGTAGTAAGCTTAGTTCTTCAACTACCTTGCTCAGTCCTGCACATTGTATGTACAGTGAGCTCTGCATCTTGAGATACCACAACACATGTTCAAGGTCAAGGTTTGTAAAGACCCATGCTGCACTTTCTATGGCCTGTGGAGCCATGATCCCTGGAATAAGCAGGCAGTGGTCACTTTCATGGACTGCTGTCTCCAGAGTGGAGTGCTTATGCTCTGTTTGGCACAGGAACTACATAACCATATTAATTATATGCTTTCTGCAGCAAAGGTGCTTGAAATAAACATTCCCAGTCTCCACAGGACCCACTTCAAAAGCATCGGCCATCCTTCATTTTGTGCTTCAGTCAGCAGGCCTGATGATGTCAGGCAGAAATGGAGAGAATAACCACACAAGCATAGCATTGTTTGTCCTGCAGAATTTCTCTGGAGACACTCAGCTCCAAGTTTTGTTCTTGACATTCTTCCTCCTCCTTTATCTCATGGCTTTGGCAGGAAATATCCTTATCATCGTGGCCATTAGTCTGAATCCAGTCCTCCACACCCCAATGTACTTCTTCCTGACAAACCTTGCACTGTTAGACATCTTCTGCACCTCTACTGTCCTCCCCAAACTGCTGGAGGGTCTACTGGCCAAAGGCAGCACCATCTCTTATAAGGGATGCATGGCCCAGCTCTTCTTCCTAACATGGTTTCTGGGGGCCGAGCTCTTGCTGCTCACAGCCATGGCCTATGACCGCTATGTGGCCATCTGCTGTCCACTGCACTATAGCACTCGGATGAGCCAGTCTGTCTGTATCCAGCTTGCAGGCAGTGTGTGGGTCATCAGTGTGGTTAGCACATCTGTGCACACAGGTCTGATGGCACAACTCCATTTCTGTGGTCCCAATCAAATCCGTCACTTTTTGTGTGAAGTCCCCACACTGTTACTACTGTCCTGCAGCCCAACCACCCTCAACAGCATCATGATCGTCATTGCAGATGTTTATTTTGGTGTGGTCAACTTCCTCCTGACTATTGTGTCCTATGGTTTCATCATTGCCAGCATCTTGGGCATCCGGTCTGTGGAAGGCAAGAAGCGTGCCTTTTCCACCTGTTCCTCTCATCTGTTTGTGGTCTGTACGTACTACTCCACCGTCATCTACACCTACATCCTCCCAGGGTCTGGGTCATCCATGGAAAATGGCAAAGTAGTTGCCTTATTGTACACAGCAGTCAGCCCTACTCTCAACCCCATCATCTACTCTCTGCGGAACAAGGATGTCAAGATGGCCCTCAGGAAAATATTTCCCTTTGTCAAGCAAAGGAGGGGAAAGGGAAGCTGTAGATTATTCCAAGTATTAACGAGCTAATTGTAGCATATGTTTTAGAATCTTTTGCAACGTCAAGGAATAAGATGCTGAATTTTGTGGTAAATTTATTACTAACATGTTTCCCATAGAGCTGCTAGCATTCCATGGCTGACATTCTGATATTCCAAGGTCTGGTGGTGGACGTTGTGAGGGCTGCAGGCAACAGGGAGCAAGGGAGAGCCAGCAGCAAGCTAAGAAAGGGTCAGCAGGATCTGCTCATTTCTCCTCCCATTGGCAGCTGCACTGCTCCTGTTCACCAGCTTGTGAACCCCAGGAGCAGTGCTGAAACTTTGTCTGTGGAGTGTTGCTGTCTACTTCCTCTATCAGGATAAGGTTAAATATTCAGAGTGACTATCAGATCTGCCTATTCCTGTGCCTTATAAACACCTCATAAACGGTTTTAAGTACATAGCAAGGTGGACAGATCTCTGGAGGGGATACCCCTATACCTATCACCTGCAGTCTGTGTTTTTATTATTGTATTTTATTTGCTATTTATTTATTCATGTTTCCATTCATTGATTTATCATATTTTGTGCATTTTGAAGAACACTGTGAGCATCAGTTCACTTTTCTTTAAATAATTCTGTGCATCATTATAGTTGCACATTTGTGCATAATTTTTTTGGCTTTTAAGGTTAAAATTTTCAAACAATGAAATAAATAAATAAGGGTGTTCATTTGTTAAGTTTTGACAAATGCACAGAGCTGTGTTACCCAATCCATGTCATACATGAGTTGTGGCCCTAATGCCAAGGAATGATATCACCTGAGATTTTTTTGCATCAGGCCTCTTTCTACACAATACTTCTTATAGTCATTATTTCATTGTGTGTTTTAGTAGTTGGATTCTTTATTTTGGTTAGTATTAAATTCTATGAATACAGCTTACTCAATTTGTCCATTTGGTTCTTATAGTTCCTAATATTTGACTATTTGAAATAAAACTTCCCTAAAGAATTGTGCACAAACCCTCCTGTGGTCATGTTTTCATTTCTTCTGGGTAAAAACGTGGTGAACACAACGGTGTGGCCTTAGAGTACACATGCATGCTGAGTTTTCCAAGAAATTTTTCTTTCTAAATGACTGTATTATTTTATGATGGAGGATGGGATTTCTGATTGTTTTCTATCATTATCTACATCTAGATAGAAATATATTTAAAATTTAAGATCTAATTATCCCATCCTCTATGTAGATTCTTAGAGCAGCCTTCTTTTGCTTTTGAGAGCAGATATTTGAAATGAGTCTTATTTTCTGAAGAGTTAAGCTCTAAAGACTTCCCCATAACAACTGCTTCAATAGTATCTCAGATCTTTTGATGTGTTATATTTTAATTTTCATTGAGTTTAAATTGTGTTTTTTCATTTCATTTTGTATTTGATGTGTTATTTAGAAACACATTATTTAGTTTGCAAATATATTAACATTATCAATATATCTCTCTGTTATTGCCCTTAATTCCACTGTGATCAGAAAATACACTTTTGTTATCAATCAGTTCTTTTGCTTGATTCAGATGAAAATTATGACTCAGCCAGTGGCTCTGATGCATTGGTCAGCAGTAGTTAAGGCTGCATGGTGGTGGCTGACACTGCCAGTAGATGATCTCTGCTAAGGATTTTCATGGGTAGGTGGTCTCTGGAAGTCTGCAGGGCTTACAGCTTTTTTACAGCTTAGTATTTATTGCCAATTCATTAAAAGTGACCACTCTGTGCACACTGCTCAGAATAAAAAGCCCAAGTAAATAGACAGGACCTCACAAGCCCAAGTTACCTGAGAAATAAATCACAAGCAGAATTATAGGACCACCAACGTGAGACTTTATTTAATTAGGACTTATAGGTAAGTAAACGAGAGCAGAGTACTTAATTTGAGTGAAGTCCAGCACAGACTCCTCTAGGGGGCTCTAGGAAGAGCTCTAGGGCTGTAGAAAGACAGATCATTCCTAAACTAGAGAAATGGGATGAGAGTATTATTTATGTGGTAGCTGCAGACCTGTGATTATTCAAACTTGGGCCTTCTGGTTGGTTCAAGTGGGTGAGAAATCCAGTACAGGTCTAGCTGTCATGGCAGCTTATACAACACAGTTTCAGGGAGACTCAAGCTGTTTCATAGACAGGTGTCACTTCTTGAAAACAGCAGGACTTAAACTGGAGAATTTTAAGGAGGGTTAGCTGTGTGAGTTATACCTGGTTTTGAGCTAGGGACTATGGGGATATTAAAAATGAATCTGAATCTCTCCCTGATCTCTGCCATGCTAGAGTGGTTGCTTTGTCCCTTTTCTTTTCAGTGATTTTAGCAGGAGTCATAGGTGATAGATGCTGAAGCTGATAGGCCAACTACACTTTGTTTTAGAATTGATGGGTGGAAAGCTGAAGAGCAACCAAAGGAGTGGTGGGGAGGAAATGAAGGCAAAAGCCAACGAGACTTATTCAATCATGTGTGACTCAAGTGAGGCACAGAGAAGCCAGTGAAAGAGATGTCACAGCTGTAGGTTAACTAATGTTGTTCTCCATTCAATAGAGGAAAAAGTAGAAAATCGGGTAATTATGTCACTTTGTGTCTTAGTTTTCTTTTACTCATCACTGAGACAAAATACCTGAAGCCCAAAGTTGGGAAAGGAAAGGTTTATTTCTTACAGTTTTTGGAGGTTTCAGTCCACACTCAGTTGGCTCCACGGCAGGCTGGCATGGCAGAGCCATAGTTCATGACTGCTGCAAACAGCAAGGCAGAAACCAGCAAAAGATTGAGACATACCTTCTTCCTGCCATTATATTACATCTTGGCTCCAACCCTCGACCAGTGTAGCACTCACACCCCCAATCCAAGCACTAGACAATGAGCCAATCACAAATGCATAATATAAATGCATGAGGCCTCGGGGCCACCAACATAAACCATGACATTCCACCCCTGGACCCCAGGACTCATGTACATCTTTTATACAAAATACATTTAGTCCATCTCCAAGAGTTGCCAAAGTCCTAACAGTTTCAGTATTGCTGAGAAGTCCAAGTTCCAAGTCTCCTCCAAAAGCTATGGAAAACTCTTAACTGTAAGCCCCGGTACAAATGAAACAAGATTCAACATTTCTGAAATGCAAAGGCACAAGACAAACATTACCATTCCAAAAGTTACAAACAGGAATATAAAGCATTGGAAACAAAGCAAGTCCAATATCCAACAGGAGGAACATTAAGCCCTAGGTTTCCATGCTCAGCATCTGAAGCAATCTGGTTGCAAGCTCCAAAAGGCTTGGATGATTTCACCCCCATTGCACTTCCAGGGATATCAGCTCCCACAGCTTCTCTCTTAAACCCTCTCTGCTTACTTCTTGCAGCTTTCCTTGGATGATCCACATTCCTGGCTTTTCCAAACTTCTGGGGTCTCCACTGTACCTTTGGCTTCACCCTTACATTTTCACAAATTGCCCTCTCAGGGGCACACTGCTTGGCCTCCCAGACCCTTTGCAATTGAGGTGGAAACTGTCCTACCCTCAGAATTTGTGCACTTTCCTTGTACCTAAAATCCACCATGTGGATGCCATGAAGATTTGCTGCCAGCTGGAGTAGTAGCCAGGCTTTTCTCTCTCTTGGCTGTAGGGCTCAATTGCCTGGATCATTGGGCTCTATGAACCCGATTGTGAAGAAAAGCTTCTCTATGTTGCCACCATTCTGGAAACTCATGTGGCCTCCATTGCCATCCTGGAGCATGGTGCTCTGCAGCTTTCTTCTCTGAGCAAATTCTTTCACTTTTGCAGTTTTGAGGCTGCAAATGGTGGAAACCCACTGCTTCCTGAGATGCCCTGGGGCCATCTTTCTTATCTCTCTATTTCTCCTCAGCAATCAAAATCTCAGTTGGAACTTTACAATCCACAGGTTTCCTGGAATTTTCCTTCTGGCCAAATTCACAGAGTTGTAAATTATCCTGCTGGGCTCTTTGTTCTTGATTTGCAACATAAAGCTAGCTCAAAACCCCCAACAATAGCCATGCCACAGCCTCAACATTTGACTGCTTTGAAATTTCCTTTTCCAGATTAATCTGTCCTTTGCCCTTTGTCTCAGTCTCAGGCAAAGGCTCTGGGCATGAGCAAAATGCAGACAGACTTTCTGCCAAGCTATAACACACATCATGGGGAGTCCAACAACCAATGCAGTCCTTCCCAACATAACTCTCTCAAGCCTGGTTGTTACCATGAGGCTTTCTATCAGCCTTCTGGTCTCCTGAGCTCTGACCAGAATCTCCTCTACAGAACAGCCTAAGCTGTTCCAGTTCTGTGCATCCAGCTGACATGTCCAAACTTTCTAAACTCTGCCCACAAGCCATTTAGAAAGCCTCTTGAAAAACATGATCAGGTATAGTCACAGCAACAACCCCACTCCTCAGTTCCAAATTCTGTCTTTGTTTCTTTTTACTGGCCGCTGAGACAAAATACCTGATGCACCAAGTTTGAAAAGGAAAAGTTTATTTCTTATGGTTTTTTGAGGTTTCAGTTCATACTCAGTTGGCTCCAAGACAGGCTGGCATGGCAAGGCCACAGTTCATGGCGGCTGCAAACAGCAAGGCAGAAATCGGCAAAAGTGTGAGACACACCTTCTTCCTGCCATTACATTACTTCCTGGCTCCATCCCTGGGCCAATGTAGCACTCACACTCCCAATCCAAGCGTTAGACAATTAACCAATCACAAATGCATAATGTAAACGCATGAGGCGTGGGGGCCACCGACATAGACCATGACACTTTGTGTTGCTTAAATCGTTCTAAATTTGATAAGACTTATTCTATGGCCTATGATGTGGTTTTTCTTGGTAAAAGTCCTCAATATCATCAAAGATTGTGATGTGTTCTATTGTTGGAGCATTCTATAACAGCAGCAGGAACAAATGAGCAATTGATTTGTTCATGGCAACTTTGTCCTTCTTGATTTCCTGTATTGTTATTCTATGAATTATCAAGAGGATTAAAATATACTATTTTCCTCTACAGTTCTATTAATTTTTCTTCATGGAATTTGAAGTTCTATCATTAGGTATATGCACATTTTATTTTCTTATATCATATTGATTGTTTCTATGAACTTATGCTAACCTTGTTCTTATTTATTTTATTTTGTTTTATATTAAAGAGGATAAAACAGAATAAAACCAATCAAAACAAATCAGTGTAAGAGATACAGGACTTTGAAACATTACAAAATCAACAATAGTTACCATAGTGCCTTTTGATGTTTTCAAAATAGCTGCAGATATCTTTGGATATAGTAGAATTCAAACAGAACAGAATAGAACAGAAACAATAAAAACAAACCAACGAATGCAATAAAGGATTTCAAAATAAGCCTATGTCAATCCAAAGTTGCTACCATAATATATCTTGCTCACTTTGAAATAACTGCTTCTGCCATCAGATTTAACGTAATCAAAAAGAGAGAGAGAGAGAGAGCATAAAACCCAGCCCCCCAAAACCAAGGTAGATAATGCAGGACTTCAAAACAAGACCATAGTGTATCAACAATGGCTGCAATCCTGAGAAAGAAATCTCCTCTAGACTCCAAAGTGCACACCGCTATCCTCTGAACTTATGATCAGAACCCTGACCCTAGACCTGCAAGGTTAGTGAAACACCAGTGCACCATAGGCATCCAGTTGTATTTCATCTCAATAACTATTATCGCAGCCTGTGTTTCTCCAGATAAACCAGTTGCTTATGTGAAGGTGGGATGGGTGTGTGCGGATGATTGCTACTTCTTGTTTGCCAGCTCATGCACTGGTAGAGGGTGGGGTTTGGCCATTCCCAGTCTGCGAGCAGCTCATACGTGATGCTGGTTCCCAGACTGGGCTTTTTTGCTGGGGTGGCCTTGTTCTCTATCCTCCCATTTTGTGAATGACCTCACTCTGTTATTATTAAATAAGCTTTTTAAATTCAAGATACTTCTTTGGTCTGAAGGTAAGGTGGTATGATATTAAAATTTTCATTCCAGTTTTAGTTTGACTTAGCACATTACATATTTTATCCTTTATTTTTACCCTACATGTGTCTTCATATTTTTAGCACATTTTTGTAGGCAACACATAGTAGGGTATACCTTTAGTCCATTCTTTTTGTTTTGTTTTGTTTTAAAGAGGGTAAAACTAAGAATAACAAAACAGAACAAATCTGATCAGAAGAAAACAATGTAAGTGACAGATTTCACAGCAAGACAACAGGAAATCTACAATAGCTACTGTAATGTCTCTTGTTTTCTTCTAAATAGTTGTCCATATTTTCACACACAATGAATTTGTACAGAACAAAATAGTACTAAATTGATAAAAACCCTAACCCTCTACATATATACCTATCATTTCTACAATAGAAGGAAAAACAAAATAAAACAAAACAGATTACTAGAAAAATAAGAAACAAAAAAGACAAATAAATAACAGTAACAAAGAGCCCAAAACAATGACAATGTAGGCCTTTAAAACAAGGGGGTAGGAGCATAATTAGGCTTGTTATTTTACATAACGATCTTCAAGATTTCCACAGATGCCCAGACACTAACAAGCACAATTGTTCTAATCCTATGAATGTTAACTGTTTTGTTCCAAGAACTTAAAGAATTTGTAGCACATTCATCTTAGCTATTCTGTGTGTTTATATAATTTTATATATTTTTCTTTTCCCTTCCTTTTTCTGTTTCCTCCTTTTCCCTGACATTATTTTTCTCCTTTTGAGCAGATTCTTATCCTTTCACTGTATTTATTGAGGATTTTTATCTTAGGTACTCATACCATTTGTTATACTAGGGAGACTATGAGGCATTTGCATGTGAGTTTGATGTATTTCAGTTTGAGTATGGTCTCAAGTTGCATCCATTTGTTGATAAATATCTCAATGTGGTCATTTTTTTATAGCTGAGTATTACTTCGTTGTACAAAAATACCACATCTTTTTTATCCATTCCTCAGTTGATGGGCATTTAGGTTGTTTCCAAGATCTGGCTATTACAAATTGTGCTGCTACAAACATGGGTGCACCTATATCATTGTAATATGACATGGAGGACTCCGGATAGATAGAAGATCAGAGGTGGTGGAGCACACAATAGCCATCTGAGTGATGTAGAGCCTGAGAATCCAGTAACTCTTTAGTAAAAGAAAAGAAATCTACAGTACAAGAGGGGGTAAAGATGCAGCATCAGCCCAAAGCTGAAAGCCTGGGAGCTCCCTGGAGGATCACACATGGAGGTCTGTGTAGGAGACTGAAGAAACTGGAGCCTGATTGCAATCCAAGGGTCCAGGCTGTTCACTGGCTCTTAAACCAATCTTTAGAGACTCAAAAAGCCTATAAGCCTGTCCAGTAACACTTGGTCTATAAAGTAATTCTAGAGGGGGCCAGGACTGGGGTAAAATGATGGTTGTGGGAAGAAAGCAACATGTGCAGGAAAAGGTTGAAGGGCTGTTTCCGGTCTGTGGTGATGTCATTGAATGGTTAGACTACATTTTCCACAACCATCTGTGCAGACCCACAAGAACAAAAGTGGTACCTTTTTTTTTTTTTATTAGAGAATGTGTTTTGTGGAGGGAAATCTGTTGTCCCTAAATACATAACAGCAATGTGGAATGCTGAGTGCCTTTCTAACCCAAAGGCTTCCCAGTTTTGTCAAATTCTACACTTTGTTTTTAATTGTTTACTTATTGACAAGGTCTCTCCAAATTTTCCATGATAGTCTTGCCCCTTCCTCAGCCTCCTGAATAGCTGGGATTAAAGGTATGGGCCACTCTGCTTGGAGAGAATTCTGCTCTTTAAATCCTGTTTAGACATATCAGCACACTGTGAGGTGAATGATTGGTTTGAAAATTTTTACCCTATGTAAAGATATTAAAGTATTAAAATTCACCTATATGTTGTTCACCTTCATTCTAGAGCACAAAAAAATTGTATTTGTAAATCATTTTCAAATTTTAACTAGAAGTTCATATGCTGCTTTTTTTTCAAACTAATTTAAGAGGCATTTGCTCTATAGAGTGGTGGTGTTCAGTTACAATGATAGCTACTGCAAAGGCTGAATTGGAGAAAGACAAAGAGGAGCTACCCTGGGCAAATTAGCTGGAAAATAAAGAGGTCTGATGCTAAGTCTTGCATTCCATTCCCAATACCCCAAAATAGTAACAAAAGTTAAAAGATAAATAAAGTTGCAGATAGACTTGTGTGGTAGACCCCATGCCATCATGAACTAGGCCCTCTTCAATCCCTAGTAACAGAATGAAAAAAATAAACATGAAGAAAATACTTGTTGTCACTCATTGATTTGTAGACCTTTTGGAAACTGTACAAATTAGTTTAAAAATTTCTCTGATGAATGTATTGGAATGAAATAGCAGGGCCTTTGGGAAATACTGTCTTGGTTGCTTTTCTCATTGCTGATACAAAATATCTGCCACCATAAGGTAAAGAAGGAGAGGTTAAATTTAGCTCATAATTTCTAGAAGTTCTGCTTTACAGTTAGCTGGCTCCAAGGCAGGGTTTAGTGGCAGAGAGGGCTTGACAGAAGAAAAACTGTCCATGGCATGGCAGGCAGGAACCTGTACCTCAGAGGTGAACATTTTTAATGACAGGGATATATTATTTAACATTGTCCTCTGCATAATAGCATATGTTGAACTAGAACATCCATCATAGTGTGACTTTCATGTTTCCCTATGTGTTTTTCTTTTGACAATCAGAATTTTATAATTATGTTCCAACATATAAAACTTTTGTATCATATTTTAATAAATAATTCACATCCCACTGTATAGATGTCCCTTAGTTTATTTAAACAACCTCATGGAATTGACTTGCACATGCAGCTGCTTCCCAATTGATCACAGCCCCACAGGAAGATGTGCATCTTTTCTCATTGCTGGTTGCATTGCTGGTCACATTTGTTGCTGTAAATACCTTCATGAAATCACTAAGCCTGTCTTTTGAGAACCTACGGATCTTGGAAAGACCTAGGTCTACAGGCATGTGCTATGTTTATGCTGAGTAAGGAAGGGCGTCACCCTACTAGCCAATCCTAGTATTGGTAGCCATGCAGATCAGAGCCTTTTGGTGGGAAGAAGCTCCTGGTGCTTCTCACAGCTGGCGCTATATCAGGCACCAGCTGCCGGAAGCCCAGCCTGGCCTCACCACTTACTGCTAGCACTGCCTGGGCTCAGGAGAGGGGCTGAGCGCCTGTTCAGTATGACAGATGATGGCTCTGATGTGGGGGGAGGTGATAAGGTTGTTCTGGGCTGGTGTCTCAGCACAGTGTCACTGCTGCACTAGAGTCCACCCTCCATGTGGAGGCAGAGCACACTCTTCTGCTCTGGGACCATCACACTGACAAGCTACAGCTGTAAGGCACAGGAGGCATGGCCCTGTTCCCTCTGGTGCTGTGGTCTCTACTCCTGGAATGCTGGTCCCACTCTCCAGGTGAGTATGTGCTGCTGTCTTCTGGGACATTTTAGATATGCCAAATGGCTTTTTCGTGGAGGGTGCAATGAAGGATTATAAAATAATGGCCCCATCTGAACCTAATTTCTTTGTGTGTAGTTTTCTTAATTTTCATTTTATTAAAGTAACACTTTTAATGCCAAGAAATACAAACTATTAATGGTAGGGAAACTCTAGATAAAGCTGGAACTTGGCATTAAAAAGAGGGCAAGTTTTTAAATCCTGCATCATTGTGAAAGAAATCCCTCACATCTTTTTCTTCTTGTTCCTTAAGGCTCTGCTGGAGAGGAGTCTGTGAGTCTCCTGGATTCAGAAACTCACTGTCAAGGCCTCCTGCATGTGGGGCACGGTGGACAGCAGGGCCTGGTGTGTGGGGACCACTGGAGCATGCAAGAGGCCTTGGTGATCTGCAGACAGCTCAACTGCAGCAAGGCACTATATACATTTCAACATATCTTGATGCCCCAAGACATAAAACCACCCTGGCTGTATGGTGCCCAGTGCCAGGGTGAGGAGGCCTCTCTCTGGCAGTGCTCCCTGGGTGACTGGGGGCCCATCAGTGGCTGTAAATGCCAGTGTGTGGTAGTTGTCTGGTGCTCAGGTAGGTTGGACAGTGACACCTGGATTCTCCTTTTCCTGGGACCCTTTAATGCTGATTGAGCTCCAGAGCACTTAGTCAAAGATGGGGGTATGAGGGAGCGTTTGAGCCACATGTGAGCACCTACTTTCCATGGGATCTTTGGAGTTCTGGGGTATCCTCTTAGTGCAGAATTAATTGGGGCCTTTCTTTGTCTGTCTTGAATCTCAGTTCTCACTCTCTTGCAGCCTCTTCTTGGTGATGTTTAACCTACTTTCTATATCCTCCTGGTTTCTAAATCCGTTGCAAAAATATCCTTCTTTTTGTCTTCCTGCTGGTCCTCACTTTGGGCGGCTTGATCCAGGTTCCCTGCAAGCTGTTTTCTGTACCATGCACATTCTGCCCATGACACACTGTCCTGAGACAGGGGCTCTATCACTCCAGATCTCCCAAGGAACCCACACAGGGTGGCGAAGAAACCAGGTATCCCGCAAATGCCCTATTTCTAGGCAAATCCAGTCTGTGCTCAACCTTTGCATGTGTCTCTTGGGCAGGTCTGGCTGAACCTTCTTTTTCTTCTTTATCATCAGATGGCTTCATGAGATCAGTTAGACTGAATGGAGGAGGTAGCCCCTGTGCTGGGATCCCTGAAGAACTGAACATAGGCACTGATTCTCTGAGATGTGAACTGCAAAAGGAGGAAGCAAGTGTTCTTTGCAGAGAACTGGAATGTGGCACCGCTTTGCAGTGGTTCAGAGCCCACCCTGGAGGACTGCTTGGTGGCCAGGAGCAGAGATTTGTGACGTGTCAGGGAACAGAGCCCAGCATTTTCTACTGCAAGTCCAATAGTAACTTTCTGAAACAGTGTGACCTTGAAGTCTACACTGAAGTGGTGTGCACAGGTAGGATCACCTCATTCCAAGCACTGGACTCTTGTTTGTATATGAACAAAGAAATCAAGATATCTGCTCCCAGCACACAGGCAGTGTTAAGGGACAGTTCTTCCCTTGTGTGGTGGCTCACATGCTCTGCTCGTGTACTGCCACTGAGCTGTGGTGCAGGAGACACTGGAGCTCTCCCCTCTGGGGATGCTAGTTGTAGCTCCAGCTGTTCTCCTTGTGGTCCTGTCCAGCCTGTGTTTATGGGGTGAACAACTGGCGGTGGGCAGTCCTGGCTACCTCTGTCTGAGAGGTCCCAGGGGTCTGTGTCAGTCAGGCAAAAGTTCTTCATGGCAATCACTTCAGGGGCTGATGGCCCAGGAAGATCCAAGGGCCAGTGTCAGGTCCTTGTTTTTCAGACCTTAGATGTTTCCTCTGGGTCCTGGAGCCCTGGACTGGAGTCCTCCTCCTTCATCCCTCCATGGTTGGGATTGGATGGTGGGTGGCTGGATTGACATGTTCCACGTAGAGTCTGTCCTGCTTTGGATACTCTTATCCAACTTCTGCCCCCAGGACATGTAGAAGCTCGGCTTGTTGGCAGCGATGACCCTTGTGCTGGGCGCCTGGAAGTACAGAGGGGCCTGACGTGGGGCACAGTCTGCGATGCTGACCTGGACCTGCCCACGGCCCATGTGGTGTGCCGGGAGCTGCAGTGTGGAAAGGCCGTGTCCACATTTGGAACTGCCCGCTTTGGCCGGGGCTCAGGGCCCGTGTGGATGGAGGCCTTCCGTTGTGTGGGCAACGAGTCTCTGCTCTTCCACTGTCGGCGGGAGCCTGGGAGTCAGTGCACCCATGAGCAGGATGCTGGGCTCAGGTGCTCGGGAGAAAGTGAGTCGTCATGGGGCCTAGTGGGGTCTGGGCTGTGGGGTTGGTCAGGGGCAGGAGACTGGAAGGAGACTAGGCTGGGATGATTTTGGACAGTGGGCAGGGGGAGAGCTCAGCTCAACATTCCCTCCCATTTCTTTCTGCTTTACACATATTTATTCCATCTTCAGAGAATGGCTTAATCAGTGTCCTTCATTCATATCAGAGATTAGTGCTTGCATTCTTGTTCTAGTGTTGTGAATTTTTGAAATGCATTGTAAATAGCAGGACCTTAGTCATATGTGAATAGGAAGTATTTTCTGCCATTCTGGGCTTTTGGGGTTTTTTTGGTACTGGGGATTAAACTTACTACCTTTGCTTGACAGCATAACCCTATATCACTGCTCCCCATTCTGTGTTTTATTAATTTTTGAAAGTGCCTTTAATACATATAAGGATTTAATTTTGATTAAAGAAAACTATTTTTTTCTCCTTTGTCTCTGGTGTCACATCTATAAATATAATTGCCAAGTCCAAGGAATGAGGCTTCATTGCTGTGCATTGTGCTACGACTTTTGTCCCTTGTGTCGTGTCTAGGGCTTTGAGCCATTCTGAGTTAATTTTGTATATGGTATATGGAAAGCGACAGTTTCAGTCTTTACATGTGGGTTCCTAGTTTGCCAGTGCTGTCTGTGGAAGAGATTGCTCCTTTAATAAATGTTTTTGCATTTTAAAAAATTACAGCCATTAATCCATGTTAATTGTATTAATGAATGGGGGTCACTGTGATATTTCTACAAATGGATACACAGAGCACTGATCATGTCTAACCTCCCTACTTTTATCACCCCCCTTCCCCTCACTGTCAAATGTCCTGACTCCTTTTTCTCACTTTTGTATTTCTCTTCTACTTTCAGGTTATGGTTTTGTGTCTGGCTATGTTACTTACCATGATATCCTCTTAGTTACCTCCATTTTCATGCAAATATGAGAAGTTCAACATATACCTTTATCAAGGTCCACCAAAAATGTATACACACTTTAGGAAAAGACAAACTTGTATAAATATTTTAATGTTAAATTTCATGTTAAATCATGAAATTAATACAAGTTACCTTTGGCCTCCACAATTATAAAAAGTGCTCATAGTGGTGGTCATTATGTTCTAGACATTTGATAGTAAACTGCTGTTTAGTTAACCTTGGTCGCTGAGATTGCTACAAATACATTTTTAATTGCTTTGCTAAAGACTGGCAGCATAGTGGTTTTTCTGATACATAAGACATCCTCTAATGTGTCCCCCTACATGAGGGCAACGCCATCTCTTGAAAAAACATACTATTTTTTTCCTGAAGTGCATATGCATTTTGTTTGGTGAACTCTGTATAATACTTTCCAAATCCATTCATTCACTGATGGGCCTCAGGCTAATTTCATATCTTGGTTATTGTGAGAAGTCTCTGTATACTTTTTCAAGAACAGATTGAAGGTTCATGTATGTGTTTATGTCTGGGCTCTATAGTAAGTGATTATTCGAAGTAAGTTCCTAACATCCCCATATTCCACCCATGTTACTGGAAATTGCAGAAATTTCAGTTCTTTTTAATGGCAAGGTTATATTACATCGTCGTTATACGTATTTTTGGTTTTTAAAACACCACTGTAACTCTATCTTTACCCATACCTCTATCAATGGACACCTAATCTGATTTAAGTTCTCGGTTGTAGTGAATGGTGCTGAAATGAATATGTGAGTTTATATGTCTCTTTCACACGCCTGATTTCCTTTGGAAATACAAGTAGTAGTGGAATTGTTGGGTCATATGGCGTTCTGTTTTTAGGTTTTTGAGGACTCCAAATCCATTTTTCACAATGGCTGTACTAATTTATATTCCTATCCGCACAACATAAAAATTTCTCTTTTTTTACATACTTGTCAGCATTTTTATCTCTGTCTTTTGTTAATAGTTCTTCTAAGGGGAGTGAGATGAGATCTCATCATGTTTGTGTGTTCTTTCCGAGTGACAAATGAAGTTTTGAGCATTTTTTCATATACCTGGTAGTCATTTATGTGGTTTTCTGGGAGGGCAATATCTATATGGACCATCTGCCCCATTAAACTGTTGCCCCAAACCTGCATTGGTTTACTGGAGCTGAGTTGAGTACCTTCTATTGTGGATCTTTACCCACTGCTGGACATTGTGCATATCTGCACACTTCCAGGTGAATAGTTTGCAAATATTTTGTATCACTATTTAGTATATCTATATACTGTGCTGGTTCTTTCTGTTGGTGTATATGCTGAGTCTTATTTGGAATCCTGAGATAAATTCCTCTAATTATTGGTGTAAAATCACTTTTGGTGTGCTAACAGACTGGATTTGCTAGTAGTTTCTTGAGAATTTTTGCATATGTGTTCATCAGGGATATTGGTCTATATCATTTTTGCTGTTTGTGCCCTTGTCTAGTTTTGGCATCAAAATAATGTTAATTTTGTAGAATGAGTGTAAAAATGTTTTCTTCATTATTGTTGAATATTTTGAGAAGAGTTCAGTTTTGTTTTTATATAAAGATTTGGTTAAATTTAGCAGTGAAGCCATTCAGTCTTGGGTTTTTTGTTGTTGTTGTTGTTTTTGGGTGACTTTAGTCAATTTTTTGATGTATCATTTGATTCATTTCCCTTCCACATATTTTAGTTGAAGTTTCAATTGACACTTTTAAAATTTGACATATTTTTGTGATAATGTGATATTTGATACATAAATATTGCACAGTGTTCAAATAAGGGTAAGCATACCTATATCCTCCAACATTTATCATTTTTTATGGTGAACAATTCAAACTCTTTCCCATATATTGTTTGAAAATACATAGTACAATACTGTGCAACAGAATAACTAATTTAGTTTTCCTTCCAAAATGTAATGTATATCCATTGAACAATTTTTTCATTATTTATCCCTCCCCTCTTCTCCCTCCCATGACTACTTTTTTGTGATTAATTTTTTTGAGAACATTTTCAAATTCCACTGGTGATGTGGGGTTGAAATGATTGGGAGTATTTAATCGTTAAAAATTAATTATGGTAAATGACACATTGCTGTTAATTCCCTTCAAAGTACCCTCCCTCATGGTGAATGCACCCCATCATTTTGCCAGTCTGTGTCTCTGTGAGTAGTACTGCAATAAACAGGGACTGGATATATTTTTAAATTATTTTCTTAAGGTTACTTTGGGGAACTACAATTAGTATCTTAAATTTATAAAATTTTACTTTGAACTCGTTTATTTAAATTCAAAATTTGAAGTTCTACCGTAATTCTTGCTCCACATAGTGTTATCTCTACCCCTATGGTGTTTTCTCACATCATGCTTTACATATTATGCAGATTTTAAAAATAGACATGTGTGCCTGTCTTTTAAATCATGGAGAGAATAGGAGTCACACTTCAAACACATTAACACTGCTTTCTGTATTTCCTTATGTAGGTCTTCCTGCTAGTTTTGTTTCCTTCTTCCTATGAATTCTAGATACTACGTACAGTCCTCTTGTTTAAACTGTGCAGACTCCCCTCAAAGTTTCTAATAGGGAAGTTCTACCAAATATGAATTCCTGTCTGGCCTTGCTTATGATTTTGGTGAGAATTTGGCCATTAATCTTACTGTCAATGGCTAGTGCGTGACTTGTCGTCTCTGTTGTTGCTTTGAAGAGTCTCTTTGTTCACTGACAGTTTGAATATAATTTCTTTTGTCTTTTTAAAAATTACTTACTTTCATTTTATTAAAATTTCTTTTCAATTTAGCATTACTTAATACTTCTACCTGCTTCATCTAAATGCAGAAATAACAATTATAAATATGTTTAAAATGTAGAACATGATGTTTGCTGCATGTGTATATTGTAGAACAACTACATGAAATGAATTAACATATTTATTACTTATCTTTAACTTGTCATAAGAAACTTTTCATAGTGAGATGCCACTTAGGCAAGTTTTAAGATATAATACATTGTTACTAACTGTGTCGATAATGTTACACAGTAGCATTATTAACTTTTTCACTTAGTTACAGTTTTGTGCCTTTTGAAAATATCTCTCTAATCTCTGTTTATTCCCTAACCTGCCTCCAACTCTTTGCAATCACTGTTCTACTCTACTGCTAGAGTTTGAGATTCCTTATATGAGCGAGATCATGTGGTGATTATCGCTGTGCCAGGCCACATAATAAAATACACTGTCTTCCTAGTTTACCTGCTAGGATTAACAGAATTTCCTTATTTTGAGATACTAATAGTATTGCACTGTGTACACAGATCACAGTGTCTTCACCCATTCATCACTGACAGACATTTAGGGTTTGCCATGTCTCTTATGAATTGTGGATTCACATTGTGAATAATGCTGGAATGGACAAGAGAGTGTAGATATTTCTAGAACACACTGATGTTGTTTCTTTTGGATGTATGCCAGTTGTTTATAATGCATTTCCATGTACATCCCTTTGAGAATCACCTACTGGGTACTTGTTGAGCTTCTTGGATATGTAAAGTCAGGTACTTAAAATTGGGAAGCTTTGTCCTGAGTTCCTCAAATAGTGTCCCTGTTCATAGTTCCCTTCCTCCAGGAATTCTCTGATGAGAATGTTGGTCAGGCTGTTGATACCCCACAATTAATTTAGGCAGTGTTTGTTTTGCATCATCTCAAACGTTCTGTTTTCACACTCAATTCTTCCTTCTGTCTAGATACACTGAATGCCACTACTATTCACTTTTACACTTCGAGTAATTATTCTTATGTTAGATATTGTACATTTCAGAGAGAAATTCTTTTTGTCTCCATTTATAATTGTCTGCTTACTGGAGTTCTGTTGTTTAGATGTTGCAGTGCTGGCATTTTCTGAACGTTTGCTCACACTCTGTTGTAGCTATCACAGCAGAATTGAGGCAGCTATTTTAATGTTTTTTCCAGTAAGTCCAGTGCCTGGGATTCCTTGGGGACGATTTCCTTGGGGATGTCTTAGTGTGTTTTGCATGCCATTTGAGTTAACCTGGATAATTTGAACATTGTACTATAGAAACTCTAGAAATCGGTTATCCCCCACATACAACGTTTCTTGTTCTTTGGTGGTTTGTACAGCAGGTATCTAATCTTTTTTTTATACAGTGTCTTCTTTCTTGTGTGGCTCTTGATGTCTTTGTTCAGAAGCATAATTCTTAGTGAGTGACTTGACAGAAATTTCCTTCAAATGCCAGAGAAAACGTAATCCCCTGTTCTTTGCAGATTTATTCTGTGCTGTGACCACCACTGACTATTACCACGTTATTTAAACTCTGCCTAGATTTACTTTGTTTATTTATGGCCAATAGCAGGATCTCACCAGAGATCTCCCATACTCAGTATTCTAACAAAGCTGATTTCAACTTTCCACTGCTTAATCATTGCAACAGCACAGGCATGGATATTGTAGTTTCGTAGCCTGATTTTCAGTGATACGATCTGGCAAAGCTGTCCTCTTGCCTGTAGTTTCTGTCTGTGGAAACGGGTATGCACCATGTATTAGAAATCTCACATACATCAGAGTCTTGGGTCAGGTGTCTGGGGCCTCACTGACTCCGCATCTCCCCAGAGTTCCGGCTGGTCAATGGCAGCAGCCCCTGTGAGGGCCGTGTGGAGCTCCAGGTGCAGGGAGTCTGGGCACCCCTCTGTGCAGCCCACTGGAGCTTAGCAGATGCCAGCGTCCTGTGCCACCAGCTCAACTGTGGGAGTGCAGCTGCCATACCACGAGGAGGCCATTTTGGAACTGGAGATGCTCCCATCTGGCCAGATGTGCTCCACTGTGTGGGGACAGAGCCCCATTTGTTGAGCTGCCCATCCAGCACTTTGGGTGCGAAGCCCTGTGCCAAAGGAAATGCTGCCTCTGCCTCTTGCTCAGGTGGGTGTGATCTATGCAGTGTGTGAATGATGGACAGCTGGGTGGACTCAGGCTGGGAGCTGGACCATGGGCACAAGAGGGAGTTATTTAGATGGGCAATCATTAGCTCATATATGAACAAAATGAGTTAAATTAGGTGAGTTAAAATGGTGTAGACCAGACAGGTGGGACTGTAGTTGTGGGTAGTTAGGAGACAAAAAAGAGAATAAATAGGTGAGACACACAGAAAATAAAGAGGGTTCAGAGAGAAACTCAGGGACAGTGATAGGTGGACAGCTAACTGCTTGCCAGTCAGCAGCACTGGATCCTCGATGGTCCACAGTGCCTTCTTTCCCCTGCTAGGTCTTGCTGGAGCCCTTAGACTCAGGGATGGACAGAGTCGTTGTGATGGTCGTGTGGAGGTCTCGCTGGATGGAGTGTGGGGCCGCGTCCTAGATGACGCCTGGGACCTGCGTGATGCCAGCGTCGTGTGCAGGCAGCTTGGGTGTGGAGAGGTGGAGCAAGCTTATGATGCATCAGCCCCTGGCCATGGAGTCCTTCCTGTGGGCCTGAGCCAGGTGCACTGTGACGGCTCAGAGACCCGTCTGACCCAGTGCAATGTGTCTGTGACCCTGCTGGCACCTGTGGGGACCTCACGAGATGTGGGTGTGGTGTGCTCTGGTGAGTCTGTGCTCCAGGCTTCCCCTGCCTTGGGCCTCACAAAGCCTGGCAGGTCCTTACTCAACCTCTTCTCAGGGAGCCTTCAGGTGCGGCTGGCTGGGGGCCCTGGCCGCTGTGCTGGGCGAGTGGAGGTGCTGCAGGCAGGCACTTGGGGCACTGTGTGTGACGACGCCTGGGACCTGCAGGACGCACACGTGGTCTGTGAGCAGCTGGGTTGTGGCCGTGCCCTGAGTGCACCAGGGGCTGCCTACTTCGGATCAGGATCCGGGCCAATCTGGATGGATGAGTTGAGCTGCCTGGGCAATGAGTCTGCACTTTGGCATTGCCCATCGCCAGGGTGGGGACAGCACGATTGTGGGCACAAAGAGGATGCTGGGGTCTTCTGCACAGGTAGGTCTAAGGTTCCTTCTGTCTTGCGTCTCCCTATCCTCCCTTGTCCTCCTTGCCAACTGGCCTCTCTGTCTACAGAATTCACAGATCTTAGGCTGCAGAATTATGGACAGCCATGTGCTGGGCGGCTGGAAGTTTTCTACAGTGGGACTTGGGGTGGAGTCTGCCACATCCTGAACCCTGCCTCCCTGGGCCTCCTGTGTGGCCAGCTGGGCTGTGAGCCCCAAGGGCAGCTGCTGGCAAGGCCAGAGAGCTGGCCTTCCCCTGCAGTTTTCTGGCTGACTTCCATTCAGTGCAGGCCCAAGCATGACAGGTCCCTGTGGCAGTGTCCTTCAACCCCGTGGGACCAGCATTCCTGCTCTAGCAGTGAAGAGGCCTGGGTCCTGTGTGCAGGTGAGCAGCAGAGTATGTGTAGGTGTGTGTGGGTGTGAAGGATGGTTACCCTCATGAGGTTCAGAGTTGGCTGTGGGGTGTCATAGGGTATGTGTAACCTCAGTCCTTGGCTTTTTCTCAGTGGGGGACTCCTGGGCACCTGGGCCTCTTCTGAGGACACCTACCAGGAAACCTATGTGTGGAACACTCTGCCTGTTTCGTTATCCTCCCTTGACAAAGACGTTTCTTTTTCTCTGGGAACAAAAGCTCCTTGTTATAGAGACACAGGGAAGGAGCAAAACTATTTCACAGAGTGTGAGCTACTGAGCTTGTGAATACTGAGATGGGTCTTCTTTTCACACGCAGGAAAGAAAGGAGAAATTCCTGAGGATCCTGAGCAGACCCTTAACTGCTCCTTCACGCTCAGTTGCCCAGGTACCCCTCTTTCTATGTCATGGTCTACCCGCCCATCCCATTGGGTTCCTGAGCTAAACACTGTCCTCTTTTCTAGAGGAGGGTGCACTGCGCCTGCGAGGCGGTGATGATGACTGCTCAGGGCGTGTGGAGCTCTGGCACATGGGCTCCTGGGGCACTGTGTGTGATGATTCCTGGGACCTGGCAGATGCAGAAGTCGCGTGCCGCCAGCTGGGCTGTGGTCAGGCAGTGAATGCCACGCAGGGGGCTGCCTTTGGTCCTGGGTCAGGACCTGTGTGGCTGGATGAGGTGAGGTGCCGTGGAAGTGAGGCTTTCCTGTTGGACTGTCCCACAGAACCACTGGGATTTGGAGATTGTGATCACAAGGAAGATGCAGGAGTGAGGTGCTCTGGTGAGTGTGTGGGGAGAATGGGGGTGGTGAGAGGGGCACAGGGACAGTAACTCATTTGTCTGCTCCTTCAGCTGAACCAGGCCCTCTAGTCTGGGCCTTGTGATGTGAGGTCCTACTTGATGCTTCAAGCATGGGCTTCTTTCTTCCCTGTCCTGTTGGACTGCCATGTGGGTTGGGACGCTACTATTAGATGTGAGCAGGTTGATACCTTAGTGCCATCCACATCATACGAGTGATCAAGACTGCATTTTTGCTGCTTGTCTCTCAGTTACCTCAGTATCAGGTAGGTGATTATCTCACATTCCCCATTCTCCTGTCCATCATGGCAAGATGGTACCACGTGCCAGTCAGATTACCTTCATGTGTTCCAGTCCCATGGAGTTGTGCACCCAGTATTTGCCAAGTATTCTCCTCTCTGTCCATCTGAGTGGGGATTCCATGGTGGGACAGAGATCCTAAGTTGAGAACACCACCATCTCAGGGGATTTCCTTCCATGACTATGAGGTTTGCTTTCATGTGCTATACCCTCTTGAACATTGTGGCTTTTTTCCAAGGTATAGATGAGCACAGGGTTACTGAATGCCATCAGAGATGTCCCTTTGTATACCTTTGGGACATCTGTCTAGGTTATCCTACCTTAACCCTACCTAGAGTAAGAAATCTACTTAGAATTTTCACCTAGACTTTCTACTTGTTCCTGTGCACTTAAGACCTGCACTTGGGCTGCTGTTGCTTGTAAAGTTAGGCCACACCTGGGAAAGCATCAGCTTGTCCAGGTAGTAATGATGCCTACCTCCCATGGGGACTGAACTATCCTCAAGTGCTGAGGTTAATCTAAGGGCATGGTTGCAGTCTCTAAGGCATACAGGAAGCCCTGCCCTTCTCTGTGCCCTAGGAGCTCCTTTCTTGGCTCCTGCATCTGTGGTTGAGCCCTGGACCCTGCCTGAGATTGCCTGCCTGGTTCTTGGCTGCCTGTTGGGCCTCATCTTCCTACTTTTCGGTGTTCAGCGGAGCCGCCACATGCTTACCTTCATGGGTATGTGTACATGGTTGGACACAGAAACAGAGTCCGTTCCAACAGAGGGGAGGGGATTCTTGGGATCTCCCAGCAAAGGAAGACCCTCCTTGTGTTGGTCATCCTGTTAGCCAATGCTTGTTTTTTTTTTTTTTTTTGGCTTTTTCGTTTTTATCGGTACCGGGGATCGAACTCACAACTGCCTGCTTTCAAGGCAGGTGCTTATGCCGCTGAGCTAAACCTCCAGCCCCAGCCAATGCTTGTTGACTGTCTGTACCCACAGAAAGTTGAGGATCCTGTACTTGTTCTCTGTGTTTCTCAGAGGAGTTGATGTGGACAGTCCCCACCTCTGGGCCACAAAGGGTCTTGATAATAGTTCATTGTGTTGCCATTCCCAGTTAGTGTTCTCCGGAGTAGGTTCAGGGCCTGAGATCCTTAAGACTCACCATCATGCTCAGCCCCGTGTGATTGCTTAGCTATAGTGATGATCACTGCTCTCAAGGGGGTGATTCAGAGGGGCCAGGGTTTTCAGTGTGCATCAGGATATAATATGCAGGATATAATGCTGGGTGGTCCTTAAAAGTCTCATGTGACCTTGACAGGTTCTAGAATGTCAGAACACCTGCCTTCAGAGGGTGTGTATGAGGACATTGAAGCTCTTCCTGTGGAGAAGAAAGAGGAGAGACTCTCATTGTCTGGAAACTTCGTGCTGGAGGAGGGTTATGATGATGCTGAAGATCCTGAGAAAGACTGTGTTGAGGAGACAGAAGTGGAAGAGCAGAGTCACTGCTGAGCATTGCAGGGTCCATTCTATTCTATATGTTCCATGAGGAGAGCTCTGCTCAGTCTGCTTAGTCTGGCTGTTACATTTAAATGACCTGAGAGCTGTGTCTCTGAGTCTGTTACCCTTATTGCTATCTCTTATTTGGGACTCTATGCCTTCCCCTTCTTCCTTCAAGGATAGACCTTAAACTCAATCTTCTCTTTGGCCTATGTGTTGTTATGTCCTTTGTTTTCCTTCAGGTTTCTTTTGTAGTTGCCCAGTATCCTCCCCAGAACCTGGTTGATGATGGGTTTTAGGAGGTGCCATGGATGGGCAATATATGGACAGGGGGGATTCCAGATGAGAGACATTTTATCACCTGATCTACTATATGCAGTTCTTGTCTGTCTGTCTGTATGTTTGTGACTGTGCTCCTCAGTGGTTACCAGCAGCTTAGTACTTATGTGGTCCAGAATAATACATGACAATCACAGTTCACGTATATCTCATTATACTGAGGTATGAATCCATGACATCTTCCATGGATTGGAAGGTGGCAGCATTCACCGGCCCAATACACAGGAACCTGGGCTGACCATTGGGACCATGAGTGTGTCTGGAGGATGGGTTAATCTTGGAGGCTGGCATCTGTCTTGCCCTCATTCTTCTAACAGCTTACATTAACTGTACTGTGATCTGTCCCTGTCAGGTAGTTTTATGAGGTTCCACCAGATCTTCCTTGTAATCTGGGTCCACTTCTCTCCCTCACTTCTCTGCCTTTGTGTGTCTCCTTTTCATCCTGCTCCTGCAGCTTTCCTTGTGTTTGGAGAGGCATTTCCTGATGAAGTGTGTATGATGACCCCACCTGCCACGTGTGAGCAGAGCTTGTCTTCCTTTCATAGGAAGTGGATGCACTTGAAACTCTGTGACTGATGTCCTGTTCTTGAAAATAAATCCTGAATGTTTGATGATGTGGCTGGTTTATTTATGACCGTACCTTAGAGACTGCCCTTGGTCCCTGTTCGGGATGTCTCCACCATCCTGCCCTGCCTTGGAGCCAGCTGACAATGTCTGAAATCTTTAGAAGTGATGAACTTAGATAAACTTTTCTTCCCTTAACTTGTGAGTGTTGGGTGATTTATCTCAGCAATGAGAAATTAACTAAAGCAGATGTCTTTCTAACTAAATTGAGGTGTGGATACACTGCCTTCCTAATGCTTCAGAGTGTGCTTATTAGAGTTCAATTCCTTTGAATAACTTTTTTCTTTTGATGTGATTTACATACATCAAACTTTTTATTTGTATAATTTTCACACATCAGACTCTTGCCTGTTTATTCTTTGAATCTGAAGTGTGCATAAAGCAATACCTCATGAATTCTTTTCAAATTTAAAACATTGCCACGTCCACAGGTTCATTCATGATCCTTTCTGCTTTTCCCTTTGCACTCCCTCCACAGTCCTAAACTTTTCTGTATAAAGTTCAGCATGCTCTAGATTTTAACATAAAGTAGAACAGAATATGTTCTCTTGTGCTTAAGGATTCTTTCACTAAAACATAATGTTTTAGAAGTTCCCTGCTGTTGTGTGTGTCCATCATCTTTTAATATCACTTTGTGTTGTTTTTATTGGTCGGTCATATATTTCCCTTTCTTTTGGGTATTATGAATACTGTAGTTGTGTTTTTCCTTTTCTTCTAAGGAACAACTAAACGATTTTAATTTTTTGAGTACTATGAATAAAGCTACTCCAAGCTTTCTCATGTGAGTCTTATACATTTTGAATTAGCTAAGGTATAGACATTTTCTGGCCAATGATTAGGTACTTGTTTAGCTTCATGAGAAGTTACTATCTCACGCCTAATGACCCCAATCAGTTTTCACCCTCCCAACAATATAAATGCTTCAGTTTTTTCATAACCCTGCCAATACTTGGTATTGTCAAAGTTCTCCTGTTTTCTGTTTTAATCAAAATGCAGTGATGATATTTCACTGAGGTTTTAATTTGATTTTCTCTGGACTGAAGTGAGATATCGGCAGGTGCAAGCAAGTCTTGGAGTGTTTGTTAATGCTGCCTCTATCAAATTCTACTTCTATTAACTTGTCTTGTAATTTTTTTTGCTTCTTAGATTACATTCTTATGAATTCAGCTATCATATTTTTAAAATGGCATGTATTTTTAAAGCAGCTTTTGGTTCAAAACAATATGAAACAGAAAGCACCTGCGGTTCCTAATACTCCCGGCTCCCACAATGTCAACATCCTGCTCTAGATGAGGCAGGTTGATGAACCTATGCCGATACATCTTAATCATTCAAAATCCAGAATTCACTTTAGTATATATTATAAACCTAAATGACTATCAGAGATGTTTTCTCCAGAGGACAGTTGGGAAGAGCAGAGCTTTATAACAGGAACAAATATGTCTTAGTAATCTATGTGTATATTCAGAGAAGTTTAGGCATGGAAAATTTCTTAAAGGTGAAAATGAGGATAATTTCTTCAGATATTTTGAAACTATAATCCTTGGTCACTAGAATTAAGAAAAACCTGAGGCTGTCCCCAAATTTTTGGGAGGACCACTTTGTAGAAGTACATGACTATGGGGCATAACGTTTGTCAGTTACTCTCAGGAGTTGTTTATGAGACCCTTCTTCCATACTTTCTAGCTTTGTACACTTCTGTTATGGGTAAAATTAATGACATCAGCAGTGAATTTAGCTCAGCAGCAGAAGCACTTGGCTAGCAAAGCACAAGGTTGTAAGTTCAATTCCTGGGGGGGGGGGGCAAAAAATTAAGGGACTCTGTTTTGATTCTGAAAATTTTATTAGTCTTTTTTATTAGTGCATGTTGGGGACTGTAATTGTGTTTACATTCATTGTATGGAGTTAGTTTGTGTACATAACACATCTTAATTCCTTTTTTTCATCCTTTTTTCTACCCTGCATTCTCTTAGCTCTTGGTCCCTTCCTATTTGAGAAAGATATACTCCTACTCTCAAGTATCTATATTTTATTCTTCTCTTTACTTGAGTTATACACATAGTTTATGTGATATTTAAGTCTCTGTGTCTCATGTATTTCAAATAACATTATAGTTTCAAACTGCATTCATTTTTCTACAAATGACTCTCGTTGATCTTCCTTTATGGCAGAGTAGTTCTCTGTTGCGCATAGTACCACATTTTCTTTATGCATTCAATCATTGATGGATACATATGCTGCTTCTAAACTTAGCTGTGATGAATTGTGCTGCCATAAATGTAGCTATGCGTGTATCACTGTAAGATGATGTCTTCAATTCTTTTGGAAAGATAACTAGAAGAGGTATAACTGAGTCAAATGGAATTTCTTGCTTTTATTTTTTGAGAAATCTCTGTACTAATTTCCATAGCTGTACTAGTTTACAATACTATCAACAGCATAGAAGGGTTTTTTAAACCCACAGTTTAGCCAGTATTTGTTATTTGATTCCTTGATGATGGCCATGAAGCCTCTGAGGTTGATTTTGGCCTTGGTGATAATATTAAATAACAGAAATAAATAACTGTAAATTTTAAGGTGACTCAATCACAGAGTGAGAAGCTTTAGCTCAGCTTTCTCAGAATTCAACTATTGTCAATAAGAAAACATAAAATCTAAAATATGAGTGGCACTGTAGGTCAAGCAGTGCTTTAAGCACTTCAGTGCATTATGGACTCGGACTTTCCTTTGCACTGCTTGTGATGTCTGTTATCATTGCAGCTGTTAGAGAAGGAAATAATGGCACGTGGAAGATAGACAAACCTTATGCAATTTTCCTTTACATCTTTACATTTCCAAGAATTAATATTCTTTTTTACTATCCATGAAATGTGTGCAAAGCTGAAGCCAGGTTGGTGTCACATGCCTGAAATCCCAGCACTCAGGAGGTCGAGATGGGAGGAGAGCTACAAGTTTGAGACCAGCCTGGAACACACAATGTGTTGGCATTCCACCAAATCTACATAGTGTGAACTTATCTGAAAAAACCAATCTACCAGCTAATGAAGAACAATAGTAACAAAGTTGAAAACCTAATTGTGTTTAGTTGAAAATGATTACATGAGATGATACTTGCAAAATGTCTGGAGCAGTTTTTGGGTCATGCATAGAGTAATATGACCATTTCTGTGACTATGCGTGCACTGAGTTACCAAGAAATCTTAACACTTATTTAAAAATTAGCCCCATTCTTATGCTTTTTGGTGACAGTCAACTGTATTAGTGTTCTTCTATTGTATCAAACACCTGAGATAAATCGACTTAATAAGAAGAAAGTTTTGTTTTGGCTCAGAGTTGGAGAGATTTCAGTCTATGGCTGACTGGCCCTATCATTTTTGGGCCTGTGATGAGGCAGCCCTTCATGGCATGGAGCTGGTGAAGAAAAGCTCATTTTCTAGCAGCCATAAAGCAAAGAAAAGAAGGAACTTGGGTTCCACTATTCCTTTCAAGGTTATACTTCTATTTTTTTTAAATTTTATTTAAGAGGAAAAAGAGAAAAACACAAAACAAAACAAAGCAGTGTAAGGTTACACATAATACAGAACTACAAAAAAAACATAACATTAAGAAATCACCTGTTAATAGATTACATATTATCATCTTGGAAATAGTTGCTCAAATCACAGTATCAAAGAATACAAAGTGGACATTCAAACAGATAGACTGCAAACAGCTGTGTTCAATGATCCAAAAACATTAATATAGTCAGCTACTCAACACCCCTAAACACACTTGCTGTTATATCCATTAGAGCTCTTTTTTTTCCTCCCTCTCTTTCTTACAACAAAATTTACACATTTTGGATTTTATATCTCCTTAGTTCTTATTACTTTTTTTTGGGGGGGGGAGAATAAAATCAAATATGGCAAAACAAAGCTGTCAGTCAAAACCAAGGATAGACATAGCACATGATGTAGAACAGAGTACAAGGTTATCAACAGTGGTTATCAACGTTGTCTCTTGTTTCCTTAAAAAGAATTGTCTATCTCATTAGATATTATAAAGTTGGACAAAACAGTAGAGAACAAGACCAATAAAACTTAGGCATTGTAAACATTACAGGACTTCCAAAGGAGACAATAGTCAAACCAGAATGGGCATCTTAGTGAATCTTATTGCCTTCAAAGTAGTTGCCTATACCCTCAAACTTGATACTATCATACAGAACGGAACAGAGTCTAATCAGTCAAAACAAGATCGTGGGAGTATTACAGGACTTCAAAACAAGTTAATAGGAAATCAAAAAGAGTTACTATTATATATCCTAATTTTTAAAAAAATTTTCCCCTTAATTAAAATATTATAGGGAAAACCAAGTCATAACAAGACAGCAAAACATTTTCCTAGAAAAACATGCAATGGATAAGACATATAAAACTACAATATAAATGATCTTCCGTAGCTACTATGTTTTCTCTTGTTATTTTCAATAGATTTGTCCACAACACTGGCTTATTATAGTTAAACATACTATCACCTATTTTTATAAAAACTTAACTTTGACTGCATTGTAGTATTTGAGAGCTGTTACTGATTCATACCAGTACGGATATCCTTTACATCTTGTCATGCTCAGAGTAGTTTCCTCTACTTTTAGGGTTGATTCTAACAAGCATACCAATTTCAAATAGAATCAGTCAAGGCCAACCAATAGTCTTATGATTCAGATACAATTAAGATCAGTCATAGTAAGACAATGTAAGTAATACAGGATTTCAGCCTAAGTCAATAGGAAAGTAAGGATAGTTACCATGGTATAACCTGCTATTTTTGGTTCTAGAGGTCTGTGTCCTTGAATCTGACATGAGTGGACAGACCAGAACAAATTAAATTCAATCTAAATATGGCACTAGGACTAATGTGTCTTTTAAACCGTTATACACCATTAGCAATGACCTCTGCTTTTTTTTTAAATATAGTTTCAGAGCTGTCTATACTAAAAACTA